GAACCAGGTGACTCTTACAACCTCTTCCCAGCCAGGGTGAATATCCCTCAGGCTGATTTCTCAGTGGGAAAGAAATTTCCTACTTCTTCCTGTCAGAAGGAAAACTCTCTGCCAAACTATTCCATGGCATTTCTAGTGCAGCCAAAGAAATATTAAGTGGTAAACTTGGCATGTGCTTCCCAGGAAAGAAGGTGAGAGGAGGCACAGTGTTAACATGAGAAAGTCTCCAAGGAAAGATTGTTGGTGTGTGTGTGGGGGGGCTGGAAATGGAAACAGGAGCTGAGTAATTCTGATGGTTTTCCTCTCCCTCCTGTTTGCAGGGTGAACACTTTGGAACCACTGAAGCCACAGAAGCTTTTTTTGCCATGACCAGGTTGTTTCAGTCTAACGATGTGAGTACCTGGGGTGTTTGCCATTTGCTGCCTCCCTGCCTGGGTCTGGACTTGCAGGAGCTGCCAAACAGTTGGATGTTGGGATGTGGGAGGCAATTCCTGCATGCCAAGTGCTTGCTGGAGGCAGCTCCTGCTTTGGAAACAAATACAGCAACATGTGGTGGCTCGTGTGCGTTGGTTTGGGGTTGGAGGTGAGTCTGAGTTGAACTGTTGTAGAGGCTGTAAATGATGACAAGGACTTCATGTCGTTCAGGGTAATTTGATGTTACACTTGCAAATCTTCTGCTTAACTCAGAATGGAGTTCCTAACTCACCTGCAGATCAGATCTTGCTGTTCCCTAGAGCAACTCGAATCAGCATCACCATGACTTGATCTCACCAAGTCAAGGGATAAGAACATCCTAAAAATCATGGAGTGGTTTGGGTTGGAGGTTAAAATTTGGGTTTTAGCAGGATGTAAAGTCCCTGTGTGATCTCTTCTGCAGAGGGTGTGAGGATGTGCTTCGTGTGAGGAGTCTCATCAATGCATGTTTTAAATTGTGTTTGAATCTGTGTTTAATTTATGTTTGAGCTTACAAACTGTGTGTTCAGAGTCTCAGGGGGTTAGGGGTTTGGCTGAGGAAGTTGTAACTGTTTAAAGATGGAGTGAAACTGAGAGTTTGGACCTTTCTCATGGCCACATTCAAGAAAGCAGAAGGTTCTTAAAATAGAAGTCTCATTTGTTTTCCAACACGTACTGTCAGCACTTTGTGTGTGTTTGTTTTGCCTTTACAACAACATAGGAAGTGGTTTTTAAAGCTTTTAGCTGCTGTGAGGCTCCTGCCTAGAGCTGTAATGTGAATTTGTGGGTCATTTCTTTTATCATCTCGCAAGATATTTGTCTCTTCCTCTTCTGCTTTGTTTGATAACAAGGAGTGAGGCTGTTACCCACTAATCACAGTTTTACACTCTGAATAGAAGTCTGTTTATTTCTTAAGGCTAAACATTTGACTTAACTTCTAAAACCTCTAGGAAGTTGTTTATTTGCAGTTGCCACCGAGTTTAATGGTTCTCTCTGCAATGCCCTTTGACAGCAAACCCTCCGGAGGATGTGTTACCTCACGATCAAGGAGATGGCAAACATCTCTGAGGATGTTATCATTGTCACCAGCAGGTACTGGGACCCCTAGAAAACAGGAGCAGAGCTCTGACATGAGGAGCTTCATGTGTTGGTTGGAGCTGCTGCAGTGCTCTGCGTCAAGGACACAGTGGTTGTTCTGTGACACAGAGTGTCTGTCACCACATCAGGTGTTACTTCCTGCTGTGTTGTGCTCTCATGAAGGAGCAAGAGGCTCAACTACAGTTTATCAGTTGGTTCCTGCTTTGGTTTTGGGTGTTTTGGGGTGGTTTTCAAACTAGTGGTGCTCAATGGGTTTGTCAGAGCTCTGTGTCTTGTTTCACTGTCAAAGCAGTGAGGGAAAAGCAGAGCAACCTCAGCTCAATTCACCAACTGAACTAGCAAGTTTTTCCACAGCAAAATAGGCATTACAACAGCAAAAATTGGCTCTGTGGTATGTGCTAAATGATAGGTTGAGTTGATCTATCTCTAAACTGTTCAGCAAACAACTTCACTATCTGAATCAGAATTTCAAGGGGTAGGGAGGAGAGCACTAAGAAAGAAAAGGGCTGAGCTGGAGAAACTACTAAGTGGTTGTGCTATGGCAACGCAGAACCATGGGCTCTGCATTTTGTAATGTTCTGAGTTTCCACAGACTCTGATGTTAATAACTTTCCAATAGCTAATCCTAAGAAGCTGTTTGAGCCAACATTTGGGGCATAGTTATGTGGCAACAACTGAATGAGATGAGGTGAATGTCACACAAGGACCAAGAGGTGGAGGTGTTAAAGAAGGGCTGACAGTGTGTCCTTGATTGCAGTTTGACCAAAGACATGACAGGGAAGGAGGATGTGTACCGTGGCCCTGCCATCAGAGCTCTGTGCAGGATCACTGATGTAAGTACCCACAGTAGTGATGGAACTGTTAGTAGTTTGGGTGGTTCAGTTTCTGGTCTGGGATTGCTTTGCTGGTGATTTTGGTCACTGCACCTGCAGGACTGGGCAGCTGATACTCATCTCTGCCTTGCAGAATTAGGTCGAGTGTTTTTCTGAGGGGCTTTTTGTCCAGAGAAGGGCAACAGAGCTGGGGAAGGGTCTGGAGCACAAGTCCATGAGGAGGGGCTGAGGGAACTGGGAGTGTTTAGCCTGGAGGAGGCTCAGGGTGATCTTATCACTCTACGACTCCCTGACAGGAGGTTGGAGCCAGGTGGGATCAGGCTCTGCTCCCAGGGAACAGTGACAGGAGGAGAGGACAGAGTCCTAGGAGGTTTAGGTTGGACATGAGAATGATCAACCCTTCTGGGAAGAAATTCTGACACTGGAATGTGCTGCCCAGGGAGGTGGTGGAGTCACCATCCCTGGAGGTGTCCAAGGAACAACCGGACATGGCACTCAGTGCTATGGTCTGGTTGCCATGGTGGTCTTAGGTCATGGTTTGGGCTGGTTGATCTCAAGGTCCTTTCCAGCCTCAATGAACGTGTGAATGTGCTGTGCATGTGTTTTTGCCTCGTGCTGCCTTTATGCTCTTCCTCCAAAGTATGCACACTGCTCTTTTCCCCTCTCCAGGGTACAATGCTACAAGCCATCGAGCGCTACATGAAACAAGCCATCGTGGACAAGGTCCCCAGTGTGTCCAGTTCTGCACTGGTGTCTTCCCTAGTGAGTAAACCAGGAGATGAATAGAAATCTGTGCTTTGTGTTGGGCTGGGATTAGTGTGCTGAGTTTGTTTTGATCTGCTTCATCTCCTTTTCCTGAGATGACTCTTCATCTCCACACTGGAAAACAAACAGCAATAGTAGCTTTTCTATTAGTAGCACTAGTTAATATTGAAAAGGAGAAAACAGGTGAGGTCTTGGGAGTTTGAGACAGAAATGTAAGACTCACAGTGGTTTTTAGGTGTGCAGGAGGAAGAGATGGGCTGGTAAATCAAATGTTGGTTTGTCTGAAGTCTCAATTTTGGCTTCTTCCAGCACATGATGAAAATCAGTTACGACGTGGTCAAACGATGGATCAATGAAGCTCAGGAAGCAGCTTCTAGTGACAACATCATGGTGCAGGTGTGTCTGGGGTCATGGCTGTGCCAGGAAGCTCTGGATACACTGTGACGCTTTATTGGCATTCTGGAAGTTCTTAGATAACCTTAAAAAGAGTAACTGGTTTTCCTTTTTCCCTTCTAAAAACAAGAGTTGTGACTTGAGGGGAAACAACTGTTTCAAAAACTGAGTTTATCCATTATCTCGGCAGAGACTGTTAATAACAGCTGTCTCTGTAGTGCAGTTCTCTTCCCTTTCCCTGTTAACCTGCTGGTAGGTGGAATGCTGCTCCACTTCACAGTGCTTGTGGCCGAAAGGATTGGAATCTGAGTGCTCAGAAAGCTTAAGATACTCTCTCTGCCTCCCAGTGAGCATCTCTTGTCCTTCAGAAAACTTCCAGATGCTACAGGACCCACAAGAATAGCCCAAATATCAGTAAGATGTAAATATTAGCAAAATCTGTGCACAAACACTCCAAAGAGCTCTGGAAATGGAATTATTCTGTTCCTTCAGTGCTCCAGACTAATGACCAGGGAGCTCAGCTTTGTTCTTGCCCGCTGAGCAGCTTCATTAAGGCTTGCAGTGAACCAGCCTTGTGGCACAAAGCCAACAGACAAACCAGGAATGTTTCTTTGTGCTCTCATTGAATTCCCCAAGGATTTTTGTCAGGTCAGCTGCCACTTCCAAGCCTCTGGGATATCCTGGGTATGGAGTGATGCAAGTGTTACTGTGCAGTATAATGTAGTCTAATAGTAAGCTGTAACCTTTGAATTATGACATCTAACAGAGGGGAAAAAGGAGTAAACTAACTTGCATCTTTAGCAACCATTGAGGCTGTTTTATGGTGGGAAAGGGGAAGGAAATATTGCAGAGTTCATCAGGAAACTCAGATCACTTAAGGTTAGAAGGTTTTTCTGCTAGGAAACAGCAGTTATTATTCCTTTTGTTAATTGGATGTGGCTTTTGCAGCTGCAGTGTGTAGTGAACACCTTCCCTCTGTCCCTCATTCCCTAGTATCATGCCTTGGGGCTGCTCTACCACCTCAGGAAAAACGATCGCCTGGCAGTGTCCAAGATGCTCAATAAATTCACCAAGTCTGGACTGAAATCCCAGTTTGCCTACTGCATGCTGATCAGGATTGCCAGCAAACTGCTCAAGGAGTCTGAGGAAGGGTGAGTAACTCCTGCAGGGATCTAGAGAGGGGTGAGTAACTCCTGCAGGGATCTAGAGAGGGCTGAGTAACAAAACACAGAAGCAGAATCCTAGACTGAACTGGATCTTGTAGGATTTTTCCTAGTGGTACATGGTTAGTAGCATTTATTTCTGGAACGCAGCATTTCTGACTTGAAGGAGATGTTGTAAAGATGAGTAGATAACAGTCAAGAGAAAATGTAGAGCTCAGTGTGAGTTGAGCAGTGGTGGTGTTGAAACATTAGCCAGTGCACACATGGTGTAGTGGTAGGGTTGTGATAATGGTTGAGCTTAATGGAGCTAAAAGGGTTTTTTTTCCCAACCTAAATGGCTCTGTGGTTGTCAATGTCTTCTATTTGCAGCCATGAAAGTCCATTGTTTGACTTCATTGAGAGCTGTCTGAGGAACAAGCATGAAATGGTGATCTATGAAGCTGCTTCTGCCATCATCCACCTGCCAAACTGCACGGCCAGGGAGCTGGCACCGGCGGTCTCGGGTCAGTCAGAGCCCCCTGCACCTCTGGGGCAGCTGAAACAGAGGCTGCCCAAGCACTTCAGGGACAGCAGATAACCAAAACTCTCAAACCCTGGGTTTTCTGATGGCCACAAGCTAAAGGGCTTTTGGATGAGAAGCACAGTGATCCCTTTTTCCTGTTTCGTCCAGATCAGTGA